GAGCGGGACCACCAAGCAGCTGCAGCACACCAAGCATCTGCAGCGCCCAGCGCAGCAGCGGCAGCAGCGGCAGCAGCAGCAGCACCAGCAGCAGCAGCAGACCACCCAGCGGCGGCAGCAGCAGCGGCAGCAGCATACCCAACGCCGCGGCAGCAGCAGCCGCAGCAGACCACCCAGCGCCAGCAGCAGCAGCAGCAGCAGCAGCAGACGACCCGGCGCCTGCAGAGCAGCAGCAGCACCAGCAGCAGCAGCACCAGCAGCAGACCACCGGAAGCCCGGCTAGCTTTCGTTCACCCCCTCTGGCCTCAAGTAGAACTCAGAATTAGGAAATACTCTACAGTTGCAGATCGTACAATGCCTGAGGCGTTTGATCAGAAGCAAGGAGAGCAAGGAGAACAAGGAGCAGGGCCACATGCCCAAGCTCAGGGCAGCTTGGCAGCTTGAGAGTCTAACCCAGGAGCATGGCAGATCCTGGATCGACCTGGTGCAAATCCCTTGTGACACTTGGAGATAACCATTTGTTTGCAGAGAATTTCATGGTCAGGCCATGCCATCCACGTAACCATGATGATTCCAGGCTTTCTGATTCCCTCCCCAAGTTGCGACGGAGGGAACCTTGCGGGGTCGTACCAAAGGAGAATGGCTACACATTCTTCCACACTCACGTGCACGCGGAAAATGGTCCCCAAGGGAAGACTACTTTACTTTACGAACAGGAGGTGCCATCCACGTTCATGTTAGTGAGTGGGAGTGTATCGTTCTGTTTTGGCTTGGTACGATTTCTTGTTGAATCCAGGCTTCGCAAGGCTCCCGCAGCTAGGACTCGCTCATGATGCTTTAGACTTCGCGTTGTGTGATGGAATGTTTGGAGATCGTCAGGTGCATTCAAGGGTTCTAAAGGTAGGATTAAAACAAGCCGATTTTGCTGGACATGGCCCTGAACGCTGGCCAAGGCAGTGGCAGTGCCATGCCATTTGCACGAGGGAGGCTACTATAGACACTTGGTCAAGTCCGGAGAGCGGAGAGAGCACAGGAAAGGGCAGCAGTTGCAGTTACACTCCCTGGAACTAACATGGACGTGGAGAATGGCCCCGAAAGGAAGACCATGAAATCCTCTACAAATAGGTGGTGCCATCCACGTAACCATGTGAGCTCCAGGGAGAGTAATGTCTTCTCTGATTGTCACTCGCTATGTTGAGATGTGTTGCTGGCGCGTGTCCGTATGTACAAACCACCAGCATCCCCTCTCAGCCGACTGAGACATCCGGAACTGAGACACCAGCAAACAGCAGGCATCCTTTTGCTTCGCGATTTGGGGGGCACAGTGCTGGTACATGGTTCATTTTCACATATTTTGTGGGACCTGAAGGAAGAGGCCTTCAATTGATCACTCAAGAGCATCAATTAAACGGGATTCTGACGATATCTAAAAAATTCAGGCCCAGGGTTGCACAGGTGTTTGTTTTTGTATTATCCAAGCCCGTTGGGGCTTGGAAGGCGCTGTGAGCCCTTTGACTGGCTCCCCACTGGTGACACTTCGCTTCTCGCCATGGCACATTTACCCCCTTCCCACAACACTCAAGACTCAAGATGGCACTTGCCATTCTCTTGGTAAACTGGATCCGCCCCTTTCCCCACCCCAAATGCTGGTGGGCGGAACATGCGGCCCCTCTATTCGCCCGTGGAAGAATCCCCAGGCGACGATGCCAAGAAGACCAATGCCCTGGATCTTCTCAAGGAAGTGGGACTCCCACGAGGGCAGGGCGACAGCATCTCCAGCCCCACCATTCGCAGCTGTTCTGGGACCCCATCCGATCGCGGTGAAGGATGCTGTTCAGTCCTTCCCTTCCGAGTTCAGTCCCTAGTTCGGATTCCTTCGATTCACGATGCATTGTTTGCATGTAAAAACTGATCCCTCCCTCCCAACCTCAGTTCAGAACATGCGCTCCCAGCGGCATAAGCCGTCGAAGAGAATGCAACAGACGTAAGCGACGTGTCACCTCGTTGAAGAACGAAAGCACTTCCGATGTGGGGCGGCTTCGGCGGTTCTCGTTGGCCGAAGGTTTCACGGCAGAAATCAAGCACCGACGCCACTGAATGAGGGAAGTGGAAGTTTAGTATGTTTAGTCGACAGAGGCATAGTGATCAACTCTGCAGCTGCTGAGATGTAGACCCCTCCAACAGCAACGATGCCAAGCCGCAGGAACTCCGTGGGACGGCGTCGTTGCACAGCTCAATGCTTAAAGAGCTGCGACAGCTTTACAAGCAATTGCGGGTGGAGCTGAAGGTTGGGCTGATTGGGGGCATCGGAGAAAGGGCCTTTAATATAGATATAATATATATATATATATTATGATTTTAGGTATAATGCACACTTGATTAATTTATAAACCACCCCTTGAAGATATGTTTGCTCCAAATTGGGTGGGTTTATTCATCAAGAGTCTACATTATGGGGGCCCAATGACATGCGCTTCGCATGGCGTCCCGCTCTGTTTCGATGTTTGGAACAAGTTGTGTGGACCACCGGTAGGATCCAAGAACAGATGAACCTACCACAAGACTGCGAGACGGCCGGCGGTCTCGAAGCGACATCTATCCAGTCCGTCTCGGTTGGCTTTCTTCATCAACGGTCTACATGAAGTCGGACACTCCACGACGCGCCGTCGCGAGATGGCCAGGATGACATCTATGAGCTCGTGGAGCAGGTGAAGGCGGAGCAAGTGTCCAGAAGCACTCCAGGCGCACCGTGGGATATGGCCAAAGCGGCACAGATTCGCCAAGAAAAGAGGTGCCATGCCATGTCCTATGATTGGTGCAAACAATTGAAAGACGACCAAGTTTGACATTGATCAACTTGGAATTTTCCCTGAGCTTCTGACCTATACTATATTTCTGCTAACTACTTGCTCGGACTCAATGCCTGGATTGGTGCCCGGCCTACCAATACCTCATGGGATGTGCAATGATTTGTATAGACATGATCTGAACCATTGCCTGTAACAGTCAGTAAACAATTAAATATATATTACGATTTTTGAACTGAAAAACTGTCGGCCTGCAACTGAACCATCATCCTCCACTGAGGCCCAGATAGACTCGGATAGACCCATCGAAATGATCTGATGTCTGACATCATCCATGGACACACTGTGAGTCAGAAGGATTACTACTACTATCTACCCATCTACTATCCACTGTGATGGGCAGTAGAAGAAACACGACTACTATCCATGACAGTCTATCCATCTACTGGAACTCCCAGAAGTCCACACTTCGTTTCATCCTCACGGCCCCTGAGGCCTCGACCAACCCCGCGGGACATCAGGCTACTCCGGACGTGGCGGGGCGCTCAGGCTATTCCAGCGCTGGCAGAGATGGGAAGATCCAGAGAGGACCAGCTTCCCCCCATAAGAAGATCTATATCACATTCTATATCTATATAATTACATTAACATTTTTCTTAATGATTACATATGAATAACCAACCAACATCACAACAAAAAAAGAAGGCAACACATTCTTTTGGGACCTGGCAATACCTGGCACCTCGCTGGCGCGAGCTGGTCCTCTGGTTCGGAGATGTGCCTGCGGCCTAGCTGTTTTTGGAGCCTGCAACTTCATGAGACGCCCGCTACCCCGTTATGCGTTGTTTTACATGTAATTTTCATGTAATTACATATATTCACCACCTTCACCTGGGCCTTTGGGGAGTACCAAACATCCTGAACCATGGTGCTTGCTCTTGGAAAAAGACAGTTGTCGAACGGGTTGCCGAACGGTCTATACAGTCAGTTTCTAAGTATGAACGGGCAACCTGAAACAGGTACACCACCTGCGACTGAAGCCTGCCTGCGAGTAGACTAAGACCTGTAGAGTTGGGGTGCTGGTACGTGTGGATGAAAGGAATTCCATGTCCCATCATGTCCAGAACAGAAACCAGATAGAGGAGAATCACAAGGATTTTAACCTGTTCACCAGGTAAAGCTAAGATCACTGAAGATGGATCCCTAAACCACCCCCATGGATCCGCTGTGGCCCTTTACCCTGTTCTTTTTTGTTTTTTTTGGGGGGGTGGCTTTCCAGAAGCGCCTTTCTTGTCGCCAACAGGTGTGACTTCGGCCGATGACCTGCGAGCAGCAGGCGTGGCAGAGAGATTTGGAGGCCGCCTCGACAGCAAGGAGGAGACCGAAGCCACGCTGCTTGGAACCACTTGGGTGAAGGTGGGACAAGTATGGAAAAAAGTGGATGTTTGAGAGAGGACCAAAGAAAACCGCGGCGCCCCGGCCGTGAGAAATGCGCTCAGCTCTCCTCTAGGAGGGTCCAGTCTCCAGTGCCTGAGCTAGAAAACTCTACAAGACCCCATTAAACCTGGAGAAGAAGCAGGAACATATGGAATCCCAGTGTAGCTGGGAGGTATTGTTCTTGCACATCCTCAATCACTAGAAGGAGGTGAGTGAATGTCTCAAAATAGAAGAAAACTTGCTTGACGACTGGTTTGGTTTAGTTGAGCTAGTGTCATGTTCGTGACTGTTCTCCACGTCAAGGTTGCTTGGTTGGTAACCAACCAAGCAACCGAGAATTTTCACTTGGTTGCTTGGTTCTCTGGGGGATGTTACTTGCTTGCTTGCTTTCAGAGACTTTCCAGTGACCCCACGAATCCGCCCCCCACACCGGAAACCGCCTCGGTGCGGCGGGTGCGAGGTCCTTCGCACACCCACATGTGCCGGACGAACGCGTGACCTTCGAAGACGTGGAAGATGTGGAGGATGAGAGTGGTGTGCCTTGGACGAGAGACATGGGTCAAAAGGGGGGTGGCCTTTGAGGAGTGGCGTTTGGAAGAACACTTTGGAACATCATGGAATTGGACATGAAACGACAATGGCCTCGCCGGCATGCATGCTTGGACAGAGGTCCTTGAGACGCACTGGACCGGGTCACCTCTGACTGAAGTCTCATCCAGTGACCACAAGCCTAGCATCGTGAAAAAGGATGCTGAGATCGGACATTCAAGGACAGTAACCTTCCCTTTCAAAGAGCAAGTTGACAATAGAATTGTCTGTGAAAACACTAAGACACTAAGAAGCGCGCTTGCACCCCTTCACGATGTCGTGGACAGGGTGATGGACCTTCAAGCTCCTTTTCCGGGGTCACTCACCTACCCAGGAGGGTCTCTGCTGGATCACCAGGTCACCGAAATCTGGGTACCAACGAGACGTGGGCAAACTGCCTGCCTGCCACTCATGTCCAGCCACTCTTGGGTGACCCGTTCTCTGGCGGATGTTCCAATTTCCAAGCTCCGGAGTTGGGCCAAATCGCCCCAGCTGGTCCTCGCCAGGTGGCCGGTCCTCGATGGGAGCGGCGCCCCGTTCGACCCCACAAGGTTGAACTGGTGGTCACAAAAAGACCTGGACCAGACACCGACACCGGGGAACGTCATGGAAAACGCTGTCCAGGTATGACTGAATACCATGCCATATCATGCCATAAGAGCATTGCTCTTGTCCTGTGTTGCTTTTGCTTCGGGTGAAGCGATGTTCATTTATTGGCGCATGTTTTCCCTATGTGTGAATCCCCATCTCGAAAGTCTATTGAATTTTTGATAATGCTGTTCCAAGTGGATTGAAGTGTCCCTCCCCGTGAGCCAAGGACGGAAAGCGGACAGCCTGGGAGGAGTCCAGACCCAACATCCGCGCCAGCGTGGCCAGCTGCGCGAGCTTCTCTGCGAGGTGGAGACCGTTTTGGAGACGAATTCCTTTGGGAGTGGAGGGTGGAATTGGTGAGGCAGATGGGTGAGCTTAAGAGCTCAGCCTTTTTGCAGGACTAGGACCGAGTAGGGCCCGGTAGGAGCTAGCTGGCGATCAATGGGCCAAGACGGTGGATGCAGAAGACAAAGTTTTTTCCCACGATCTCATTACTACCGCAATTGATCTCAGATGTCACCCGGAGAGAACGCATACTCTTGACAGTTTGTTGTGAGTTGATGTTCATTGACTTGTGGTGCTGGAGGATATATATCTCTCGGATGGTGGAACGCACAAGACTCTGAAACAGACCGGCGGTCTTGTTGGTCAAGCTGGTGGTCGATTCATCGCAGTAGAACAAGTGTGTGAACGGCCATGCGAATGGCCCAATGCTCCCTTGCCCAACGACGGCTTTTGCCACGGGATGTCCCCATGGACGACGAACGGATGTGATCTGACCTACGGGTCCCACGCGTGGGTCGCATGGTGTGGAGCGGGCTTGGGTTTCAACATGTGACATGGGCTTGTGATGTTCTGCAATGGTATGTACTGGAATAGAGAGACCTCCAGACCGACCTCCAGAAGCAGAGAACGCTAAAAGCTCAGTGTTCGGGGGGGGGTCCTGGAGGAGTCCAACCCGTCAATCGTTGGGCCATGTTCCAGCTAGTCAGCTAGTCGTTCGTCACAATGATCGGTGCCAATGATCGCCTGAGTCCAGGAGCAACTCAGACCAACCTGCCAGCTGCGCTTGGAATCCAGTGGAAGCTAGCCCAGCCTCGTAAGAAGGACATCTCCCTCCAAAACCATTAAACCACCATGACCCTAAAAGGTAGCAAATGGTAGTAACCTGAGAGTTGGGATTCTGATCTGGACCGACGATCACCTGGGCACTTCTTCCACTTTTATATATAGTGAGTCGAAATGCACGTCTTTGGGCATCATCGTCCGGTTCCGGACACAGCTGTGCAACGACGACGACGCCGACGACCGATCCATCCACCTGACCGTCCAGGGCCCGTCTCAAGAGAACGACCACGACACACAGCCTGGACCACGTCAAGGCCACTCGGTCGAGGCACCTGATCAGGTCTTTGGGCTATCCAACTTCCATGTTGGACTGTTGATGAACAGAAAAACACACATGAACATGATTGAAGACGTGAAACCATTCTGGTAGAGTCAGATGAAAGTAGATGTAAACCCATTCTGGATTGATGGATCAATAGTCAACATTCGCCAGCTTTTTGCCAGCTTTTTGTCACGAAGCCACCTGGCGCACCGCTTTTGCTTTTCATGGCGCGTTCTCGGTCTCATTGGGTCCTCTCTTTTGTCGGAACCCCGCTGGCGGGTATGCGTCGAAATAGAATGAAATATATAGATTATGACGAAGGTAGGAATTCATGACAAGCAGCCGCACCAGGAATGATGACCCCAGCACCTTCCGACAAATCATTTTGGCTAGAAGGCCCCCACACTACAGTACTTGTGGATCTCCAGACGGGACATCCCGAAAGGAAGGTCCAGGTAGGATCTTTTGGAGTCGCTTGGGGGGACAGTTTGGGCTCTGAACATTTTTGGATTTATTCGGACAGTTTTTTCCAGCCAGGGCCTCAGTGATGCATGATGACGCATGCTGCTGTCTCTCCTAGCCTAGGCAATCTTACTACCACAGTCCAAAGAAACTCCCACATAGACTCCTTGGAAGGTGGTGGTATGTACCCAAATATAGAGAAGCTCATCGACCCCAAAAAGATGAACACTCTCTTCGTGATTGCTTGGACGTTAATTTTTCTTTTTCAACATGTTCTTCTTGGGTGGGACTTAACGGTGGAATTCCGCTCGAACGGAAAACGATTTTGCAATGTGAGGGAGTAATGTCCAACTAACGTCCTTGCTTCCGAACAAGTCCAGACCATCACGTGAAGGAACTCTCGATCCGGTCACTATCAGATGGGTGGGTCCTCAAAATAGGCAAAAGCTTCCAGATCGGCCCACCCTCCCTTCCAGGAGGACGTCCCTCCTTGGAACCGCCATTCCCTTCCACCGAGGAGGACTGGGCCAGGGAGTTTGGCCAAGGAGAGCGAACCCCAGCGGTGCCTCTGGGCAAGAGTCGCTACCCGTCTTCGGTGGCCCCTTGGTGCAGCGATGGCGACCGACACGGGTGCGGTGCTCGGGGGGGCGAGGGTCGCGCGGAGGTGCCACAAAGAGAAGGGGGGGGGTGAAGCAATGAGAAGGGGCTTGGTGGACATGTGTGTTCAAACTCCATTATATATTGACTGGGGCAAGATGAAAGAGGTCTCCAAAGGTTTTTCTTGGGTGATTTTGGGTTGCTCCGATTTGGATGTTTTGTGCACTGATAGCTAGCTGGCCAAAAAGACTAGCTGAGTATAGCCGCTGAAGAGAAGCCTCACGACCAGTGCTTTAAGGGTAAATGTTTTTGGGTTGGCAGGCTTCGGCATGTGTTTACTCTTGAACTACCTTGGCCGGGACTAGTGGATGCTAGAGTTCAGGAGGGTGATGAGGTTGGAGGGCATGAATACTTTCCGCAGGTGCCAGCAGTGGCGGCATGTTTGTGACCCAACTTCAAACGTATAATGAGACCCGTGAAATAGGATGATAGGCATGATAGAACTAGTCACTAAGTCGAACACTTCATTACAATGCAACTCTGCTTTTGCATGACCTCACGGCTTCCAGCTTGGCTCCAAGAAGGGCCCCACCAGTTTCTCTGGGCCCGGCTGGGTGCGACTGGCGCGTCACGCGCGGGGGTGGCGCCATGCTGGGGTGGCTCTATGATGTGGCTTGGAGCTCCATCCTGAGTCTGCGGCAGGGGCCAGTGCAGACCCTGGGGGCACAGGAGCACAGGATCTGATTTCTCCGATCTTGGCGGGTCAAGAAGCAGACTCAAACTCAGTCAAGTCAGGCAAGAGTAGTCTCCGCGTGACAGAGTTGGACAAGTTCTAGAGGTTCTATGAGGTTCTTGGGAAATTGGAGAAAAGAACTCTCTGCAAGTGTCTTCTGCATGGTTCCTCCATGGGGCGGTCAATTTGTTTGTCACCAGATCTTGGACGCTGCAGGAGAACGGCTTCCTCTACATGAGAGGAACCTCAGATGCTTGGAAACCACTTAAAAAGCCCAATGCAAGGCTCGATGGTGTGGCGATCTGGAAAAGCACATTCAGAATATTGTAGACTAAAAGGGGTCAAGTGACCAGTCAAGTGACCTTATAGGACCCTACTGGGGTACCTATGGGATGATATAGTCTATAGAGTTCTTGAACCTCTGTTGGTATTTAAGATCTTTCAGCGGAATCCGTCCACTGCAGCGGGCGGGGGGGCTTCTTGGACGTAGAGGCTCAGACAACCACTGGGCGCTTCGCCAAGATGTTCATTGATGAAAAGCCTTTGAACAAGACTATCTGAGGAGCGCTTGCTGGCCAACTCTCCTATTCAGGCCTGCGGTTGAGACGATTTGTTGGGCGATAGAGTTTCTAGAGTGATATATGATATATGGTCTACGGCGGTTTAGCTGGCCAGATGTGTATGTACAGTAGAGTGGTTTTTCAGGATGAAGTCTGATTCTTGCAGTCCGCCCGGTATTCGAGTCTTCCCAATTTTGCAACCTCATTATCCACGTGTTCTGGAAGCAGGAACCCACCACCAATTCTTGTGTGGAATAATATTGTGTCACACGCCCATACATGGCCATGGGCCCAACGATAAGGGCAGCCAGAAGGGCAGGCATAGGGCCCTAGCAGAAGCAAGCACACTCTAAGCAAGAACTGAACGTTCTATGACTTGACAACAGCAGCCCCCATCTATGAACATGTAGGGGTCCCGTCTTCCACCTCAGGCCTTGCCGCAGGGTCCGCCACTCAGTGCTGTCTGCGCTCGCAGGCGGAGGACTTGCCGCTCAAGCCCAAGGGCCACGTGCGCTTGGTCTTGGTGTCCGACACCCACGAGCGCCACCGCGGGCTGCGTTTGCCACCCTGCGATGCGGTGCTGCACAGTGGAGACGTCTTGGCTTGTAGCAGCTACGCAGCTTGGCCGTGAAGGAGGATTCAGCAGCGGGATGAAGGGGAACTTTGGTTGAAGGTAGCCTTTGTTCCGCCCGTTTTGAGGGCTCAAAACGAGGTTGATTGACTGGTTGTTGCCTCGGAAATGCATATGGACATGCACACATACACACACACTGTGTATATTTAAACAATAGTCGTGTACATATCTGCATATATTCAATATAAAGATTCAATATAAAGATGATGAATTGAATTTGGATTTCGTTAAAGTTTAATATTGCACAGCTTGGGCACTGGGCAACTGCGATTGATTTCTTGCAATGATCATGGGTTTGAAGATGTATAACATTACATAACATTTTCCACCTCAACAGGTTTCTTTCACTCCCGCAATCTTCAAAACCTTCCCTTTTCCTCCATTTCCTTGTTTCTTTCCATTTTGCTGCAGGGTGCCTTCCTTGTTCACGTGCATGCCAACCCTTTTGCGCCTTCCATTCCTGCCTGCCATGTCTTCAATTTGTTGCCTTTTTCTGCCTGGTGTGAGGCATCATGGGATTGCGATTCATGCGGATCTTTGGATTAGGGGCATGCCCCCCTGTGGAGGTTACGGGAATGCAAATCACGTATTCATGGCGGGTATTCCATGCAAATCTGCTTCACCAGGCCACTCGGCAACACGCCGAACAAGTGCTCAAAGACTTTGGGGACTGGCTGCGCTCGGCGGAGTGCGCGCGGCGCTTCGTGATTGCTGGGAACCACGACTTTTGGTTGGAGGAGACGGCCAGGGCGGCCAGGGCGGTCTGAAACGCAAGCTTATTTCAACACACACCATACCATAGTGGACTCAAGACTCCGTCCTTAAAAGGCCAAACTTGTTGAACATAGATTATGATGTTGCACGTCAGCGAATGAACATCCATGCAATGGGTGAATTGGCCGAGGGTTTGGTTCAATCTAAAGGACTTGTTGAAAGGAACGCATCCACACGAGCTGGAACGGAACATCCTCACTCTGCTCCAAGTTCCTCAGGGGATTTGGACATAGAGGTTTTGAATAGTTACAACTTCCACTTTTTACCATTTTTGTCTTCCAACCGACTAGCATGTTAGATGCATTTTTTCATGCATCTATCCGATTTCTTTCAGATCCGCTAGGGGGTAGGCCATGCATTGGGGTCAGAGTAGTCTCTCAGTTCAGCAGGCGATGCTTGTTTCTGTGCACATCTGTGCCAACAGGAGTTGGGGCCCGAGACCACGCAAGAGCTCTTAGGCCACCCACCTGTGCATGCGGGTGGTTCTATGATGCAAAATGGCTCCCACTTGCCAGTATGGAATGATATGGCTTTTGGACAATGATCCCCCGGCTTGCTTGAAACAACTTCCTCGACAAAAAGAGAGGCATGTTCCCATCATCAGTTACAGTATATAGTCAGTTGCAGTAGAGTGCCAAGAGTCAAGAGTAGCAGAGTAGAGGTTTGGTATCATTGGTGAGGGAGCTCCATTCAATGAAATGGGGGGCACACGGGCACACGTAGCTGTAGACATCGACGTGACAGGTCTTGCTCCATGGATGGTTTTTAATCTTCCAAAATCTTGAACCTTCTCCTTTGTTCGGGCCCGCAGTGCATATGCATCAACATATAGTACTTATAGTACTTCGTAGGAGCTCAAAGGGCCATCATTTTTCCATGACATTGGAAGAATCTCGTGCGATTTCTCTCCAGCTGGGGCGCGTGGATCGATCTCCGCCGTCCTTGTCCGTGTCTGTGTACCGCGCTCCGCGAGGCGGGTTGTCTGTCGTTTCTGAAACCGCTCGGAGGCGCCGATCCCGCAGGTGACGCGGTGCAGTACCTGGAGTTCTCCTCGGGATCCTTCACCGTGGATTTGGGTCACTTGGACCGACGGACCGGGTGGAGGGACCGACGGACCACACGGTGGGACCGTGGAGCCGCCGAAAGGGGGTCCGGAATCAATCGCTGCGAAAGCACTTGGGACGGAGTTCGGGATTTGAGGTTTGGTGCCTTGGCGTTTTGGTGGTTCAGTGGTGTTCCATAGTGGTGCATTGTTCTTGTGCCTTGTTATGGGCCCACCCACTTTCTGTTGTCTAAAGCAAGGATGCCCCGGCCGTTTTCCAAGACCGTCGACGGAAAAGAAAAAACCGTTCATTTTTGGCTCTTCATGCTATTTGACAGCATGAACCCCCCGCGTCGTGCGCGGCTCAACAACCTCAGGCGCCGGGCCACAAGAGCTACGCGTCTTTGGTGCGCCGCTCTCTGCAGGGAAAAGCTTCAACCGCGCCTTTCAGCAGAAGGAGCGCCGGGCCCCGGTTTGGGCAAAATCTGTTTCAAATTTGAGTGTAATGTTTGATCGTTCGTGCTTCAAATCTCATCATCATCCATTTGCGTGAGAAATGTGAGCAGATAATGATTTGGTACCTTCCCTGAGGTCCATTCTACAGGTCAAACGCTCTGAACCTGCAAGTTGCCCACTTGAAGTTGGAAGAAAACGACACGTCAGTCAGACTGCAGACAGTTCTAGGTCCCACCAAGCAGAAGCTGCAAGGCCGGTTTTCCATGGTTTTCCACTGACCCAAAGCTTTAAGAGCTCCATCGCCAAGCCCTCAATCACCTTGGACCATTCCGGGGACCAGGAGGCCCGTCAGCGCTTCCTTGCCGAGCCGGAGATCGTGCGCGCGGAGATCGTGTTGACCCATGGGCCGTTATCCTCGTCCATGTGGACGGGCTGAGTGTTGGGAGTAGGGTCGGGATTGGCTCAGGAAGTTGAAGGAGTTGGGTTGAGAGTATTGTTGCGGTTTTCTTTTCGTTTGTGTTGACTGTGCCACATAGGTGACATAGGCCTTCTGGGAGATTTCCAGACTTGGCCAGAGAGGCACCCTTTGCTCCGGATCCAGGTCCAGGGCGTTCTCCCCTTGCGCAGGACTGAGGAGATGGTGAAGCGACTTTCAGACCTGCGACCTGCCTTACACGTTTGCGGCCACATTCATGGCTACTATGGCCGCGCACGGCCCATCACCACTTCGGGAATCTCGGTATGTTCAAAGAAAACCACACGAACAAACCGGCCGAAAGGATAGAACTCGACTTGTGCGTATATATGGTCAGTTTGATGGTAATATGACATGGTTCATCCCCTGTCACATGGTGTCATTTCACTCCACCCAACTTTTTTGCCACAAACTCGGTATATATAAAACCTCACTGAGATTTTTCCGGCAAGCTGTGGAGATTTGTTCGCTTCCAGGTGGCTTGTCCATCAACGCCTCCACCATGCAAACCGTAGGCCGCTTCACAGGGCAAAGGCCGTGGAATCCGCCTATTGTCCTAGATTTGCAGCTGTCAGCGGGCGCTGAGCCAGTTGGTGTCGCCCCCACCTGCGCGCCCTGAGGGCGATGCGGAGGGGGGGGGGGAAGCGAAAAAATGAAAGAGGCCTGGTGCACCAGGTGTCCTTTGATGGGGGAGGTCTTGAATGAGGTTGATTGAGACAGTGGAGCTGCAAAACATGTCCTCCAATGAGTTTTTTCCTTCCAAAGATGCAAGACCTCCCCGAAGAGTTGGCTTGGATTCATCTGAAGATCAGACGCTTCAAGTGGACATCTACATCAATGTAAGGCTCTAAGGCACTCTGAAGTGGTTTTTGGTTTCATCCAGCCATGCGCTCTTTTTTCGTTCGCCATGCGCGAAAAGAAGCGCAAAACATCTCAGAGCAGGAATGCTTTCAGAGGCCATGACCTTCGGATTTCCAGACCTGGAGCAATGTACAGGAGCTCCGCATGAAGAAACATGCAGCTGCTGAAATCCCGGCTCAGGTGGATGAAGGCACGGTTATATAAGTTCCTTCAGTGGCGGCATCTGATGGGTGCTCCTGATCGGTCAAATCACCTAAACTGACCTAAAGAGCTTATGACCTGTGGGGGTGGGACTTCGGCTTCAACAAATCATTGAGAAAACGCCCTCAACTCCAAGGTTACAAATCCAAGTCGTTGTGATGTTGTTTTGGGTGGCGCTGTTCAGACCGCAGCTCCGTCGAACTCCATCCGTAGACCTCCCCGGGAGTAGCATGGGGGTAGCACAGGGGAGCAGCTCAGTCGAGACATCACCAAGGGGTTCCTTTGCCTCCACGAGAGTGTGGAACTTTTTGTGGAACCACCGGTCACCAAGGAGCTAGTCCAGTAGCTAGTTCACATGTCAGATAGGATGTCATACAGGTGGGGCGTAGGAAGCCTGGAACATCGCCTACCATCTGACATCATCTCGGTTTCATAGGGCCTCCCTCCCCCTCTCTCTCTCTCTCTTCAAAATGACAACTAAATATGAACCCCACCAAACATACCAAACATTATCCTAGGGCCCTAGACTGTCAAGTTCTCGCACCCGATCTTAGGACCTCATCAAGGCAAGCCTGGACGTGCGGGCCTTGGTGTTTGCCACGCCAGACGCCCGGAAGCGGACAGAAGTGCTGTGCGAAGATTCCGTGTCGAAAACACCAACTGCAGGTTACCACCGTGGTACCCGGAAGGTACTCACTCCAAAGCTTGTGGTGAGAAGGTAAGAGTGAAGGATTTGTTTTCATGTTTGCACCCGCATAGATGGGTGCAATTCTCCTTCTCAGTTTGTGATGCTACGTGGGACTGTAGGAGGGTGATTGGAAAGAGGTTTGGGAAACAGACAGAAGCAATTCCCGGATGGATGATAGATGGGACCATGGTCAACGGGGACTGGGACATGCGCAAATTTGACTTTATGATGTTTTATGTGTTTTATGGTTACGTGTTTTATGTGTTTGTTTTTCAGCTGAGAGGATTTGCCGGGGGTCTTTGTGGACATAACAGTGTCTCACCCCTGCAATTTTCCCAGAAGTTGGGCTATTTCCCAAACGCTCTATGGTCTACATTCACCACCCAAAACCAGCAGTCATGTAGGCCAGATTTGCATACATGGAGCGTTTGGCTTTGCGTTTCTTTCTCAGTTTAGGGGATGTTCATCCCGAGAAATTGCCACCTTTGTCGCTTGGGCCAGGTGGACGAAGATGCCGGTTGGGTCGAGAGGACCGCGGAGAGAGGTGGTTTTCGCGGCGCGTGGTTCGAGCGACCCCGACCCGACACCGAACCACCGCCGCGTGCTTCGGTCGACACCGTGGTCCTTGGTGCATGTTGCTTTGAAAAGGCTGTTTTGGGGGGGAGGGTGTGGAGGGCTTTGGAAGGATGAACTCGTGGCTTCAAAGGGTGGTTGGGTGGTTGTTGAGGGCCGGCCTAGGGCCAGTGTAGGGAGTTGGACTTCGCTGTGATTTCATACCTTTCATGTATGTTTGGATGGAGGAGCAGAGGTATATATATAATGCCTTGCTAAAAGCATGGAACATGAAAGGATTTTGGCAGTCAGGTCAGGTGCCACTTCTTGCCGACCTCACATGAAGTGCCTTCAAAATTCGCGACGACTATGATTGCATAGGAACGTTGCATTCATATGCGGGCATGCGGCGCGGCATGCGCCAAACCCCGGCGAACGATAAGGGACTCACCAAAAAAGATGATACTCAGATACTGATACTCTTTGTTTTTTTTTAAGCACGGTTGCAAAACATGGGAAAACAAACAACCGCACTTTATAACATTTGACCGTACTTCATATGTCGTCTACAATCTACAGTCTACAGAAACTCCGTGTATCTCAGTTGCCACCAGTAACTGCCGAAAGACGTAAAAGGGTTCCAGCCCTTAGCAACCCTGCGTTCACCGGTCCACTGTCACTACGCCAGTTCTCGAAAACGTGGCATTTGGCGGCGAGGATGGTGACCCAAGACTACTTTGACTATGTGCCTTGGTTTGGCAGCATCAAAGGGCTTGCCAGCCTGGTAAGCATAAGGAACATCCACAACTTCGAGCGAACGTTCGCGTTAGCACATGCTTGAGCAGGAAATGGAAAATTGACCTGGGGAAGAACGTGTTTTCAGGAAAGTGTTCTCTACAAGCAGCAATGTTTTGAAGAAGGCAAATCGGTCCTCAAGGCTAGTTTCCTCCACTTTGTTCGGAAACAAGCCGGCCTTTCGTTGGATCTCGTCGTTGTGATGTCAACGGCTTTTCTGCCTTTAAAAATGATTAAGGAAGCTGCTGACATGAATGATATCACGATGATTCACGATGAACGTTCTGATATTGGACCACATGGGCCCTGAATAGCAGCATGCCCTTGGAAAGGCACCAGAAGAGAACCTCCGCAAAGACCTGGCGGATTGAGGTGATGGGATTCATCTTAGCATTGAATGCCATCATCGTAGGCGTCCAAGTGGTGTCTTGGCCGAATTGAGAGTTTTTCAAGTGGGAGACGTCCAGGATGACCCCGAAGGATGGGGGAACTTCCTACGAACACTGCCAAAGACACGTGCTTCTGCCCACGGCCCGAAAAGTAGGCACACCTTGGATGGAGATTTTGGACAAGGCAGTTGCGGATTAACAAAGTTTCAGGATAACTTCTTCAATTAGATCCTCATAGGTTGAAGTAGTCTGGATTTCTTAACGCAAGTTCGGCCCTTCCTTTGCAGATTTGAGGCTATTGATGGCTCTTTACTGAAATCAGATATTATCTAGATTGTGGCATCATCCCAAATTCCAGCCTTTCGATGTTGGGATTCTCCCGCTCTAAATTGATTTTCTTCTGCAGTTGTTCTTAGCAGTGTTCTCAGCATAACTTCCACACCTTGAAATCTGAAACCTCCGTAGCTGGTTCAGCGCATGGCTCCACTGCGCCTTTCTCCTTCTCAGCTACCTCCGCCGTCCACGGCCGCTTGCGTGTGGTCCATCAGCGTCTGAGGGTCCAGCGGTCCGACTCCCGACTGGTCCATCCCGGTCCATCGGTCCATCCCACCAAAAGCGCCACGCTTTCGGTCCCTTCCCGAGGATTTGGTCTCTAGAGAAGCTCGCCGCAGCCCCAGCTTTCGGGGGCCGAGGAGCGATGCATTGGCAAGGGATGAGACGGTAAGACCTGGAAGATGGATGGGGGCTAGACGGCTAGACCAAGGCCACCAAAGGGGGTGCAAGGTGAATGTGTGAATTCTTCGATATACCTATCCAGACAGATGTGCTGTTGACATTTCCTGACACAGCTGCTTGCCAGCCCCCTCCACTCTTAGCACTACCCAGCGTCTTAGTACAAAAGCTACACCGTGTGCAGATGGTGTGCAGATGTGCTTCGCTACAAGAATTGCCCAGCCCTTTGGTCCAAAAGCATGCTTCAGAGAGGCAACCACCCTATATAACCCTCCTTGGAGTCTTCCATGTACCCCGCCCCTCCGCCGTGCCTCGGAGTGCCACGGGCTTCTTATCGCCACGAGGCGATCCTGCCTGGTCCAGGGTCATCGCCACTGGGCCGATGGTGGAGGGGGTCGGTCTTCGTGTGAATCGGTAGGGGAAGGGCAGGTCGCTGTTCACCATCCGACCAGGTCGCTGCTTCTGTAAGGGATCACCTGGCTGGGCGACCCACACTTACTGTATATTCTACTAGGTTTGCAGCCAGGACACACCCCTTGGAAGCACTTTGTAGGTCTGTAGGTTCTGGAGAGGAGAAGTCCATGCTTCGGCGGATGCAGATTCACCATGCATCACCTCAAGAGAGGTCGATTCGTTGTGATCCCAGACCAACAGAGTCGACTGAGCCATCCGGTTCCGTGGATCAGACTGACTGCGGGTATGCCTACCGGGCCTACCGTTGACGGCACACTCCCATGCAGCCTGGGAGACACAACACCTGGCACGCAGACTTATTGTATCTAATTAAGATTATATAACTGCCTTATCCAGTACATTCGGTTCATGCAATGTTTGTTTAAACGTTTGCGTTTACAATGCTATACAACAATAATACTTCGTTATGTTGAAATCTGACAGTCTGTCCCTGATAACTAGTGACTAGTGCCTTCCCCTTCTGTCAAGATGGAGCCACGTCAGGTAGGTCGCCCCAACGGGCAGTTTCGTGCTTCCCAGGATTTGACCTTCTGCTCCATCTTTGTGATCGAGCTACTGCTGCGTACAAAGGCATATGGTAAGAAGTTCTTCAGTATGTGGCTTGGTGGCTGGAGGTGTTGGAGGAGGGGTTGGAGGCGGAGGTGATTCATTTTTTGGTGGATCAACTTGGAAGCATTTCGGTGGTCGTCCGGGGAAGTTTCTGAAACATGGCCGCCATGGGAGTTTTGGATAGGACATTGACCCAAAACATCTCTATTGACATCTATTGACCTATATTGTATACATATACAATCTGCCCAAAAAGAGTGGATGTATGGCTCATCCATAGGACTGTAGGACCTGGAGAGTTGCAGATGCTGCTTGACTTCACCTGGAATGCCAATGGGATAGCGTGTAGGATTCTTATGGGCTTGCACGTAAGAATACCACTCTCTCTAATTCACCCTGGCTGTCGACCCTGTTGTTGACTTGGCATTTTGGCTCAAGTGTCAAGAAGCCCTGAGTGTTTTGTGCCTGGTTTGGCATTTTCGCTTTGTTTCCCTTGGGTTCAGAAATTCTTTTTTGGTTTGCTGACCTGGGATGCCGCTACCGCGGCCTTCGCGCCCGGTGCGTGCAGCCTCTCGTGACGTGAGCAGCTTGCGGCCGGGACTGCCTTGCCCCAAGCGGCAGCGGGGGTTCTCCCACAGTCCTGCGCTCGCTCCGTCAGAGATTGCTGCAGCCCCAGCCATTGAATACGTTGGCGCATCACGTTGGGCTATGACGCTGCATGTTCGCGACAGTTGTGCAAGTGCTGCGCGTTCAGATGAGTTTGAATCGCAAAAGTGGGTACGCTTGTGGGCTGGACTGCTTGAAGAATTTTTGCCACACGCGCCAAATTTTGTGGATTTGGGTGGCTTGGCGCAGCCTAGCTTGATGCGTATGCTATCAAAGAAAGCGGCTTCCACCCTGCGTCGCCACTTGCCAAGTTGGCGTTTGTGGCTTGACTTTGCCTGCCATCACGAGTGGCCTGCTTACAATCCACCATTGATGGACTTTGTGGGATACGTACAAGCTCTGCTGTACAATGGTAAAACTGCACGTGGTGCAAAAAATGGTATTGCTTCATTGAAATTTGTGGCTGCGTTGATGGGTTGGGGCGCTTGGTTGACGACCTTGGGGCATTCGGTAGTGGTGGCCTGGTGCGAGCCGCAAGCGAGTTTGAGTCCACGTAAAGAGGCGCTGCCTCTTCCACTTTCTGTGGTCTCTGCATTTGAAACAAAAATCCATAAAGATCTGGACTCCGTGGTGACCAAAGATACTTTGGCTTTAGTTGCCTTTCTGCTCATGATTTGGGGCGCGTTGAGATTTAGTGATGCTCAAAGACTTGCTTTAGGTTCTTGTCAAATTGAGCGTGGCATTTTGCGAGGCTGGTGTTATCGCACCAAAACTTCCAAGGATGGCATGCCCTTCGGAGTGCTTACTCTGGGGATCCATGATTGTTGGGACAAGGGTGTGTCTCATCTATGTGACCATCTTGGACATGGTGATTTTTTGATTCCTGGGCCTAGTGGTGCCCGTGCCAGCTTCGCTTACGCATTAGGGCAATTTCGCAAGTTGCTGGTAGCTATTGGTGGCCTTTCGACCGCGCAAGCGCGGAACTATACCCTGCACAGCTTGAAAACGACAGGCTTAACCTGGGCCCTTCAACTTGACGTGGACCATGTTCAGCGTCGCTTGTGGGGTCACCATCGTGGAGGCGACAGCGGGTCAAAGATGACAACCAAATACAGCCGGGACGATGTCCTCCCAGCCTTGAGAGCTCAATTGAAGGTACTAGACTCCGTTCGTGGCGGGTGGGTTCCCCTCACGCCGCAAGCGCGCGGTTCATTGCCGCCTGTGCCGGAATCGGCTCTTTCTGGGCCCCTCCATCGATTAGTGTGGACGCCCCTTGGTTTGGCTGCAGCAGGACCTGGTCTTGATGCAAATGATTCTGGAACCGAGACAGATACATCGTCTTGTAGCTCGTCTTCCTCCTCAGAGTTTTGTGCATCTGATCTGGAGGACGTAGATGCTCCGGCGGCTGCTGAACCCCCCGCCTTGACCATGGCCAGCGGTGTTTTCGTGGTCAATAGCTACTTCCTACTTCCACGCAGCTGTGAATCTTGGCCTGGATGAGTATGGGCGAGCCTGCGCCCCACGGCAGCGATTGCGCCCTCCACGGTGGGAAGTTTGGCATGCCAATCCCGCAGAAAGCGAAGAAATTTTTCTGCCTTGCTCTCACGCGGCGTGTGCTGCTGGGTTGTGAACTGGTACTCATGGTTCTGACGCAAAAGGCAATTTGGAGACCCAAGCGTCTCTGCGTTGGGAAGAGCCGTGTGCTCTGGTCGGAGCGCGGTGCTCCTTGAAAACAGAGCTGGTTGCTCTGGTTGGAGTGTGGTACTCCAGGTAGGGGCCGTGAGCTCCTGGGAGCGCGGCGCTCCTTGTTTTGCAAATTTGTTTGCAAACAGAGCTGTGTGCTCTTGTTGGAGTGTGGTACTCCAGGTACGGGGCCGTGTGCTCCTTGGAGCGCGGTGCTCCTGGTTTTGCAATTTTTGTTTGCGAACAGAGCTGTGTGCTCTTGTTGGAGTGTGGTACTCCAGGTAGGGGCCGTGTGCGCCTTGTTTCTATCATGCCTTTGGTCTGTGAACCTTGCCTGGTTGTTTTTTAAGTGGGTTAGCCTTACCCTTTGGCTGCGGTAGCCGGTGCGGCGCGCTCGCGTCAACATTTGTTTGCATACAAATCTCTATGCTTGAGAAAGCTAGAAGTTGCTATTGCTCCGCTTAGTTGATATACAGCTTGACTTGTTTTTGCTTTGCCGGTGATGGCTTGCGAGTGGAGCAAAGCCATGGGAGAAGAGGGCTTATGTGAGGAAGTGATTGAGGCTATATTGAAAATGGGTTTCAAACGCAAAGCCTCATTTGCGCATGCCTTTGTCGACTCGAACGTCTTCGAAGATTGGCTTACACGTTTCAAACTGAAGTTGGTTTCGTTCAAGGACCTGGACGATGCGGAATGGTTGACATCGCCCACATGTGGAGACCTCCGCGCGTTTTGGAAGAAGAGTTCGGGTGAAGAATTGCCGGCTCCTGCCAGTGCCAAGCATTTGCCATTGTTGGGCTCCTTGAGTCTACCAGCCAAATTTGGTGCTGCGGATCGCGAAGCCTTGCTGAAAGTGTTTGAAAGCAACTACCCAGGAGCCGCGCTCACTCCCGAGACAACCCCTTTTTTGCCCTATCTGCAGACTATCCGGAGCCAATGTCAACAGAAATCTTGGGCTTGGGTCGCATGGCGCCGGATCCTTTCCGAAGCTGCGCTTTGGGGTGTCCAAAGCCGCAAAGCAGGCACAAAAAAGAGGGATCTGACGGAGGTCTTGGCTGAGGCAGCAGGTCTGTGTGGTGAAGAATGGGACTTGGACATGGGGGGGTCGCCCCATCGCATTTTTCAAATTCTTTGCACTCGTGCACATGCTTACGCCCTTTGTGGTGGCGGTCATTTGCAAAATTGGCTGACGTACACTCACAAATTCATCAGTCATTACTCTCGCAAATATGGCGCGGGCTGGAGAGCGCCAAACCCAACTGAAGCTGAGGATGCCGACCGGGAGGTGTTGACTGAAGTCTTCAAGCAGGTGCTTCGTGATGGAGTGTCCCTGGACACCGCCCTTGATTGCGTGGTTCGTGAAGATTTCTTTCGTCACTATCTTGGCCCGAGGCCCAGATTGGTGCAGAAAGCGTTGCCCGGCTTGGAAGAGGATGTTGTGGTCAAAAAGCCAAAGCGTCGGTTGCCGCAGCCTCTCACTGATGGCAAGAAGCAACGGGACAACCAGGGCAAGGGCAAGCTGACTGGTGAGCCAAAGCAGCGAGCTCAATCTCAGTGTTTTGCCTTCAAGAAAACTGGCAAATGCGCCTTTGGTGCTGACTGCAAATTCCAACACGCCGAGTGACTAGATCATGAAGCCAATGAAATGAGATCTATGCTGGATCAACGTGAGCTAGAATTGTCCTGCGTGCCCCAAGCGGCCGAATTAGGTGCGGTAACTAGTTCAGCTCCTGCAGCGACGGCTGTCGCTAGATTGGACAGCGTAGGGCGGGGAGCCATTGCGCCACGTGCGGAATTTCCTATTCCGGATGGTGGTGGCTGCGCCTCGTCTGCTGATTGGTTAGCGCCGCGCGGTGCGCGTGACCTGCTGCGGGACTTGCGGAATCAATTCCAAGCCTTAGTAGTTTCTTGGGGCGCAGTCGGCAGATTGCAGAAGCATTCGCGTGAACCTTCAGATGAGATGCTTTTCTCAGCAATGGAAGTTTCTGAAGCGCGACAGACTTTGTTGACCTTTCTCGCGAGCAAGGGTTTTGCCTGTAGTGACATGGTCAGTCCTCATCAACCTTTTCTCCTGGACGTTTGGTCAGCTTTGGGTGCTTACTGCAACGATGTGGATAGTTCATTGCCGCCATTACTGGTGCAGGGGGTTCCAACTGGTGTGGTGGAGCCAATCCCTGCCTCTGGCATTTGGGAACCTGTTTGCACCGAAGTGGATTCCCAATTAGATGACCTTTCCATTCATGTTCAACCGTGGCGTAGTGGACTTGACCGTGAAGATCTCACACTTGATCTCATGCTAAAAGACGTGGCAGCAGGACATGCTTTTGAACTTCTTGGCGGTGAAGCTGAAGCGAAGCTGCGTTGGGGTGACCTTGTAGCTGCGGGAAAACTAGGGATTGCTCAACCACCTGGCAAAAAACCTCGTCTCATTGGCGACGGCACCGTCTCTGGCGCAAACAGCCGTTGTGTGATTGAGGAAAAGGTACGCTTGCCAACATTTGAAAGTGTGCAACGTTTCATGTCACTCACCCAGCCTGGGGAGTGCTGGGGTGCACTGAACTTCGATGTGAGGGGTGCTCACAAGCTGGTGAAGGTTGCCCCTGCGGAGCAGGGTCTATCCTGCTTTGTGGTCAAAGGCCGCTGGTTTGCCTACAGGTCTTGCTATTTTGGATGTCGGTGGGCAGCTTACTGGTTCTCGCGGGTTGGTGCCTTCCTCGTCCGGCATTGTCACCAATTTCTCTGGGTCAAGCACGGTTTTTTCCTCTACGTGGATGATGGGCTAGCATTGTTTCCTGCCGGGGTGTGCCCCCTCTTGGCTACATCTTTGCTCCTTTTCTTAGTAGCGCTTGGAGTCCCTCTCTCTTGGGAGAAAGTGCGCGTGGGCCACTTGCAATCGTGGATTGGTTGGTCTTTTGACTGGGGTCTTGGCCAAGCTGAATTGCCGGACAACAAGCGGCAGATGTTGGTGGGACTATTACAAGATTTGACATCGGTGCGGCGCAAGGTGCCGCGCAAACATGTCGAGCGTTGCGTGGGCCTCCTTGTCTGGTTTTGCGGCGGAGCTTACTGGCTGAAGCCGTGGTTGCAAAGCTTGTACCAATTACTTTTCAAGCCAGTTTGTGTATTTCGCTCATTGTCCACCGGACAATTTGGGGCTTTGCTCGCCAAACTAACTGATGGACTCTATGTTTCCCAGGATTTGCGGGATTGTGATGTGCTCCGTGGATGGAAACTCCATTCAGTTTGGAACTGCCCAGTGTCCACTCTGGACAGCGAGCCTTTGAGAACTCCGCGGGTTCGCCAGGGATCGATCAGCTGCGTTTTCTATGATTATTCTCAGGATATGGTTCCACGCAACCGGGCTTCCACTTGGGCTGCACAGTTTTTTCTTTGCGCAGTGGAGCGCCAAGTCAAAATTCCTCTTCGGGTGTTGGAGCCAGACCGGGGCCAAGCCGCAGCTGATGCATTTGCCACCCAGCATCACGCTGGCGTTGGTGGTTGGTGGTGTCCATCGGCTGATGTCAGGAAGTCTGAAGTGTCGTGGTTCAGTGAGCAGTTGGTTCCAGCATCTTTGCCGGCTTGGCTGTGCGCAAAAGCGACCTTGCAGCAAGATATCGCCTCCTTTGAAGGAGTGGCGCAGTTGTGCTTGCTTGTTGCACGGACAGGCTGTGAAGATACTCCAGGGGGCTACACTTTGCGCTTGCGTCAGCTGTGTGACAACTCGGGCACTGCTGCTAGTGCGCGAAAAAAGCTGACTATGCAGGCCCCATTATGTTATGTGCTGCAAGCTATTGGCTTCCACTGCTGTGCCCTGGGCGTCTGTTTAGACCCGCAGTACGTTGCTGGAGTGAGAAATGAATGGGCAGATGACTTGAGCCGCAATCGCTTGGAAGGCTTTAATCCAGCTCGAAGAGTCCGCATAAATGCGCGGACGTTGTTGGAGGCTCCTTGGAAGGACTTTGAGCAGGGTTGTGGTAACCCACCTGGACAGTTGGGGGCTTGATCAATTCTTCGATAGGGCTGGGAAGGTGGGCCTGCTGGGCTGCCACCCAGCAGGCCCACCTGGCAGGATTGATCAAGCGTTCTGAGCATTGGAAAATGCTGCTGAGAGTGCAGGTGTTGGTTGTGGTTTGGGTCCACACAATTGGTGGGTTGTGTTAACCTGGGAGTAAGCTAGGTGAATTTGTAGAGGTGTAGGATTCTTATGGGCTTGCACGTAAGAATACCACTCTCTCTAATTCACCCTGGCTGTCGACCCTGTTGTTGACTTGGTGAGCTTGTTGGGTCAAGTGTCAAGAAGCCCTGAGTGTTTTGTGCCTGGTTTGGCATTTTCGCTTTGTTTCCCTTGGGTTCAGAAATTCTTTCCCCCCCACCCTCCTCCAAGAAATTCTGAACAACTTCTGGAGAAGACAGAATCTGTTGAACGCTCTGGTGCAGGGCCTTTTTGCCAAATGTTCAGGGAGTGTGGTGCTCTCTACAGGAACCCTTGTCCTGCAAGGAAGAATGCAGCTTGTGAATGCAGCGATCAGCATCTCTAGAGCCCAAGTGCTCTTACCAAAGCCCTGGGCTGGGAAGGTGGGCCTGCTGGGCTGCCACCCAGCAGGCCCACCTGGCAGGATTGATCAAGCGTTCTGAGCATTGGAAAATGCTGCTGAGAGTGCAGGTGTTGGTTGTGGTTTGGGTCCACAAAATTGGTGGGTTGTGTTAACCTGGGAGTAAGCTAGGTGAATTTGTAGAGATGGAATACTAAAATGGGCACATGCCATGTTTTTGAGCCACACGCCAGCATGCGCTGCTCCAAAGTCCACTCGGCGAAGCAAAGAAGACCACTGAACCCCGAAAAACAGACGTGAGGTTGGGATGCATGTGCAGCATTTTGGGAGTGTCACTGCACTTATAATGCCTCCGCGGCGGGTGGAGTGTTTTTTTTTGCCGAGGGACGGTTGGCAGTGGAACGTCTTTGACCTCTTCGTGGTGGTCTTCAGCGTTGCAGATGAGGAGAGGGTTGATTTCGGGGTGATTCTCATTTGTGTGCGACCCCCTGCAAGACACTCCAAATCTTTGAGTTTTATTTTGTCCACTTTCCTGCAACCAAAGCACTTCTTTGGGTTCCGAGTCCTGGTTCTTCACCATTGCCGTTCGTGACTAACGGCATTGCCGTTCGTGCCGTTTAGTGGCCTTATGTCCACCGAAGCAACATGGTGCCCCATCGAAGCAATCAAATCCCTTGAGTTGCTAGGCCACGAAGCTGGTCTTGAGCGATTCCGAGGTTCAGGAGGCCCGAGGAAGGTTTTGGTGGAGACGAGTTGGGAATCAAGATGGGCAAACGTGAAGCTGGTGCAGGGTTCTTCATTCAACAGGGAGGTGGAGGCGTGTGTGCTAGTGTGCGAAGTGCTTTCATTATTGCTGTAAACATGCATTTGGCAGCTTGCCGAGGAATGGGTCCGACTGGTCGTTATGGGTTGTACTGCACTCACATGAGCTCACCCAAAGAGAGCAGCATTGTGTGGATGTTGTACCGAGTTTCAGATGATGGTTTGATGATTAGTTTCCACAGGGTTCAGCCTGCAGCAATGCCAACAAGAATGCTGGGCTTCCATTGTGACAACTCACAAAGGAGGGGGTTATAGGCTATAGGGGGGTTTGCAATTGAAGCTGTTTCTACGTATACTTTGGCAATCTTTGGCACATTCCCCATTCCCCTATAGGCGGGGGCCTCATGTGTTCAAGTTCGCGTGAAGGTGGTGGATTGGGTGGACATCCAGCCTGCACAGAGGTGTGTTTCTCCACACTCCTGAGTTTCCGAAAGGTCTTTGAAAGCTTTGGCATGCTGCGGCTGCTGAGCACCTTGGATTCGAAGGGCACCCCAAACGAACATCGCAACAAAACTTTCCAAAGCTCTGGGATGGTCGATGCTTGAGGAGGCTGATGTCATACAGTAGAACTCTAGACTGTGGAAGGTCAATTGAGGTTGGAGGTTCCAAAGCTCCCACAGCCCACGAACGGCTTGGATTGTTGGAATGCTTTGAAAGAATGCGAACACACATTCGAGCAGTCAGCACCGCGACGACGTAAGCGCATGTCCCACCCTATGGTCCGGATGGGACATGCCAACGGCAAAAAGAGGCTGTAGACTCCAACGGTTTTTACATGCAAAATCCATTGGAGTGGGCTGTTGTTGGATGTGCATGATAGAATCTGCTTTCAGAACATCATCGAACTTTCAGATACACTGATATACTCATACCCCATCGAACTTCCATAGGCCGGCCATCGCTGGCCAGGGTAGCGAAGAAAGAATTCACGAATTAAGATGCTTTCCAGATGGTCGCACAAGAACTGGGCAGGGCAGGGGTTTATATAACATAGTGAAACCCCGAAGTCCCTTCCGAGGGCTGGGCCGTATCGTGCGCTTGGTGCGGATGGTACGCTTGATCCCAGCGCTGAAGTCCATGGTCTATCTCATCCTAGCGTCTCTTGGCGAAGCATATTTTTCAGCACCGAGGGTGGGACGGTCTGCAGTGCACCGCAGACAGAAACCAGAAGTCATCGGGACAGATCGGGACGCACCCCGAAAGGACCCCGGGAGAGGTTTTCCGGGCCACCCGTGCCTGTCAACCATTTCTGTACATCGTAGTGCGTTGATCAAATGTTGCTTTTGTGATTTTTGTGTGTAAATTGAATTAGCTATCCTTTGCTACCCTTTGTGGTGATCAATATTGTTAAGTGTAGTTCTCCTGCAAAATCCTCAAAGGCCTCTGCAAGGTCACCAAATCAATACCAATTTTGACATCAAACAAGGCCATCATCAAGTGCCGAAACATGGAAACTGCTGGTTGAAGGTTTGGAAGAAGGTTTGGAAGATGATTTTCTCTCAAACAATGGGGTGTGTCAGTTCCTGCCGGGTAGTTCATGGGGAAAAAGATAGCACATTGTAGCACTGGTGTTGGATGTTTGGGGGACCAGGTCAGTACTCTGATCCCTGTCTTATCGGATAAGTTGGATTCACCAGCCAGGCTCAGCCAGATCATGCCAGGCTAAGCCCTCCAACTACCCGGTCTCCCCTTGTGCAATTCGCCGCCGACAGCAGGTCTTTGAAGAGCTTCCTGTGGACGGTGGTTCTCCTGATCATCCTCATGTACTGCGTGGCAGCGGCTTGGAAAGCCAAAGCCGCTGGTTTTTGTGGCGGATCACGTGTTTTTGGTTTCCTTCAGCGAGAGTCAATTGAGTCAGAAGAGGTAGAAAGACCAAGACTGAGCGAGATGGCACGTAGAGCGCCAAAGCTACGGGGAGGAAGTTGTGTCATAGAATTAGGCTGTCCACCAGCACCCGACTTCACAGGTCACCCCCTGCCACTATTGAGTCTCCAAAAGCCACCAAATTTCAAAGGAGACCTTTCGGAGGGTGCTGGTATATGCTTGCTATTATTTGCTATTGTTCTATCCCAGACACTCCATGTATGCCATATATGCCTACATTGACCCGACCCCCAAAACCACCCCAACTGATCGGCATATATGGCAGTCCCATGGAGTGTCTGGGTATGGATTCATATCTTGGTGTCGTGTAGACGAAGTCACCGATGGACGATGACAGCCGGACTTGGTTTCGAGAAATCGCAGCCATGCAGGTGACCGGAAGCCGGTGATTTGGGTGGGTGAATCAGGACTCGGGTACTGTATATAATACGAGACTGTCTTACAGATCCAACCATTTGTTCAACAAACATCGCGAGAGGCGGATGTTTGTTTACATCTCTTGCCGAAATCTGACTCGGAACGTCCTGAGGTCTATTTCACTGAGTTGGCCTATGATCTTCGGAACAAGCATCCTCAGAAGGACTTCAGCAGCTTAGGTAGCACCTGGGGACACTCGTCTGCACCCAATTGCGCGGAAAGCGCGTGGATCGATGCGCGCGTGATCAGCGATGAAGTCCAGGGGAAACACGGTGGATTCACCTGTGAACTCGGAGCGGGAGGGATGAGCCCGAGGATCCATTGGCAATTCCATCTTGTCCCTTTTCCAAGCCATCACTGGTGGCAATGACTGGAGCCTTGGCAAGGAGATTGAGGAGACTGGTTGTGTGTGGTACGGTGAACTGTGGGAACGTCCCACGTGGCTTTGAACATGACATAGGATTCTGCAAGAAGAATGTCAAGAGGAACAGGTGATCATAGGTAAGTAATTCAATTTGGAGATTGCTCAAGAACACCCGCGTGATAGTTTCAAGAATGCATGTGTTTGTCAAGCACAACGTGCGGATTTGGTTGCTCCGGCACGATTCCTCAGCTTCTCGCTGGTGCTTGGTGGTGGATGAAGAGGTGTTTTGGGATAAGAGACGGGTGGTGTCTTGAGCCTTCTGTGCCACATGCACACATTGACATCTACAGGTTGCCTTCTAGAATGCTCCAAGACTCTAAGTCTAGTGTGCTGATATTATGATATTATAACTTGGGTCTGTCCTATTCCCTGTAACAGTCAGTAAACAATTATCACTATTTTTGAACAAGGCCTTTACCAACCATCATCCACTGTTACAGGTATTTGGATAGACCCAAAATATAACTTAATTAATTGAACGTATATATCATATTACCCCACCCTGATGCCATGCCAACAAGGCAACGACCAATTTTTTACTTTTAGGATTGGACGGTTTTCGGACCAGCGGTCGTTCGAGAGCGAGGCACAATTTCATCTCCGTGTTCGACGACTATGTGGGGAGCAGCACATCAACGCATCTGGGAACACATGTGATGTTGGTAAGTCCAAAGTTATAAACGGAGACCTGCCAAAGGCCACTGACAAATCTGACAATAACATACAACTAACGCCTCTAAAGCCCATCTGTTTGGTCTTCCTATTTTGGAACACCTATGTCGGGTTTCATGTTGGAGGATGACGAGAGGAGATTTCTTTCTTGATTTGATGATTTTGCCAGACCCAGTGGACACGATTCAAGTGGGGTCTTCAGCATTTATGTTGCGGCATGGGTGAATGCCAGTGCCCACACGCCAGGGATGGTAGTATCCTGTAGTATTTGGTGGCCGCTGCAGGCAATTTTGGGCAATGACTTGGGAGGGAGTTGAGGTTTTGGCCCAGGGTGGAATCTATAGGCCACACGTAGCATCAAGGGCTCCGCTTTGGTCGGAGATTTGGTCGCCAGCAGAGTCATAGAGTCATAGAGGCACTCTTAGTTGGGAAGGGAGGTAGCGTGGCAATATAATACCATTTATGATCGGATGTTTCCATGTGAATGTTTGATCTCAAGTTCTCGCAAAAAGAATAGGGGTGGACGTTCTTCTGAGAAGAGCAGACAGAAACAGTGGCGGCATATATATATATATATATGTATGCACATACATCTCTCTCTCTCTATATATATATATATGTATGCACATACATATCTCTATATATATATGATGTATACACATCATGGTCTTTATTGCGTGAGTGGTGTTGAGACAGGTCCCTATGTGTCAGAGGGTCCTCTTGCGACTGAGGAACACTTTGGTCTTCTCTATTTTCATCGCCTTCGCTACTCTAGCCCCTGGTCGTGCGATTTCAGCGGCAGACTTTCCGCGCAAGTGAAGAAGCCAGCACAAACCAATGGAAATGGCGTGTAGACTAATTAGGCCAGCTCCATGCATAGATAGATTGATTATTCAGCATGTCTAATGTAGGCTGTTGATTCAGGGGTTTACACCAAATGGTGTCAGACCAAGACAGAGATCGACCCACGGCGTTCGACCCGCGGAGGTTCGGCCACCGCTCCTGCCGTGGCCACCGCCACGTGGCCGTGGCCACCGGAGGGGCGTCTTCGGCTTCGGCGACCCAGGTGATGATGAACTTAGTCACCGGTGTCTTCGTGGATGGCGCGCAGCGCATTGCGCGGGAGGAGAAGAATCAGGAGCGGAGACGGCGAGACATGGGATGTGGGGAGTGGCAGGCCGGTTTGCGGAAAGAAAAGCACTGGCAGGACGTTTGATGAGGTTTTTGGTTTTGGGGGTATTGAACTTCCCACCTTCCAGGAAGAAAGAGCTAATCCAAGCTGGTATGAGGTAGGAGGGGTCCTTTTTTGGGCGCAGCATCTGGGGAGTCGGACACCACCGAGCCATGCCCTTGAAAAACTCATCACCTTGGTGCTCAGTCTTCCAACATGTCTTTATCGAAGTTGAAAGCAGTTCTTAAGATCCAAGCGGCCCACGGGGGTCTTAGTCTACGATCTTGCAGTGGTTTCAAGAACAGATGGCACAGACCCCAAGATGACAGATCGGGGTCCATATATTAACCACCGACATTGGGGTAACTTGTGCCATCTACTTCTTGAAACCACTATATTTGACCAGTTGGAATTGCATCTACCTGACAATTGGTCGGCCTCATCTAGGCCATGGAGTGCAAAAAGCTGCCTACCATGAGATGGCGAGGCGGTGTGTTTGTCAAAAGGTCACCGGTGAAGGCAGGCCCCGAAGCATCCCAAAGCATCCGCTCCACGTCCAATGGTTACCTGAAGACATCAGGCAATTAAAACAACTATTGATTACAATATGTTATACCAGCACCTGACTCTACAGGTTAAACCGGCCCTAACATTCAGGTGCCAATCGGTGAGTGGTGACTATTCCAGGTGCTGAGACAGGATCCAGACCCCTTTGTTTCCCAAAATGCTTTGTAGCCGCATGTTCCAATCCCTGCAGACCTTTTGGGCCTTTTCCGCGCTGGCACTGTTCAGGACCTGTTGAAGCATGTGCGCAGGCTTTTAGCTCCTGAGCGTCCCTTGGACACAATGCGTCCGCCAAAGCATGATGAATACAGACGAGTACACACATGCACACATCGAAAACTGAGAAGATGTGTTCATTGGGGAGTTTCTTGCCCAAAGGCATGCGTACACGACTTCCAATACATTTTGCCAGGAGATTGACCTTTCTATTTGGTCTTTGGGGCCAAGCCTGACACACTTGAGGCATCAAAACGCCACGAGCCTCCATCTTCATACACGGAGAGTTTTCCTTTGACGATGGCGACCGTTACTTGGTGCGGACGTTTTGACCGTCACAGGTCAGTGGGGTCGTTTGACCACCTGCAGATGGCTTTGGGAGTGTGGTTGGGACGATGTTTCCCAGACACCCCATGAACATACTTATGCCATGTTTAAGTACATTGTAGTGGTGCAGTGGTGGTTGAAGAAGGTTGAACAGCAGCCAATGGAGTGGCATATCTTCCAGTGGCATCTGGCATCGGGTGACTGTATCTATTTGTGTCCAGGGACGCAGATCAGGTGGTAGACAACGCAAGGTATTTGTACTTGTGGCAAGTGGTTGGAGGACGAATGTCAACATCATCTGGATGGAAAAGCCCCTATAGTAGACCAGGATTGGGATGGTCAAGCATCTCCACCCCTTCGGGGCTTTATGAACCAACAATCAACTCAGGCAACAGTACGTCTAATCTAGGGTGTGTCTCGTTGTAACATCCAACCAGCATCATCCACAGGAACTACAAAGGGGTGGTGTTTATCATTGTTTATATACTTCCTCAGCCCTTTGGAACTGCTGGCAGTGTTAATTCATGTAATGAGTGGTGATGATGCTTCTTGTTGCCATCAGATCTAACCGAAGTCCGACGATTGATTCGCTTCTTCTTTGCCATTCACGTGCCCCACTCAGGACTCATCACGTGGCAGGAATTCTGCAAGAAGCGACTTGGAGATCCACCGCGGGGCGAGTTCCGCCATGGGACTTGGACGTTGAATGACTTCCGGGGACGTTGGGATTGCCTTCTTGCTGTAGGGGTGCCTTCTCGCGCAGAGGCTGCTAAGGGTGTCACATGCGACAATACCTGGACCATTTGAGTGATTTTTTTTTCTGAAATCTAGATATGGCTTGTTTGAAGGGACCATGGTACACATCAACTAGCATTCCTAGTCCCACATCCCGTTTCAATGTTGCATTGCATGCAGTTGCCAGCTGAACATCTCTTCACCTCGTCGGGAGGTGGGTGAACTGGCAAAACCTAAGAATCCAGTGTATGACCAACATCAACTAACCAACATCTTGAGAAGAAGAACTCGCCCAAATTCTCCAATTCCTGGCAACTGATCAGCACTTAAGCCACTGATCAGGCTGGAATCTGAAGAGATGAAGGCTTACCTCACCGCCTTTGAGCTAGACGACAGCCAGGCGAAGGACCCCCGACATAACCCGTCGCGCGTGGAATTGGGTTTCTTGCGCGGTGTGCCGCGTGGTGACAGAAGCCACTTCGCTCTGAAGACTCGATTTGTGTGTTCTTCAGATGCTTTTTTCCCTCAAAGCACCTGCGAAGGGTTCTCCGTAAAGAGAACATCTGCATGTGATCCATTTGTGTGTTTTGGTGCATCTCCTTATCTTTGGGCCATCAGAGGTTTGATTGTATGCGGATCTTCACTGCAGCCTACCTAAGGTGAGGAGCGGCGTTTTTTCCCAAACTGGAAACGAGTCCGAGGCCACCTAATTCCTTCACTTATTCTGGGACAAATCCATCTGACTGTTATTATTTGATGTTATTTTGGTAAAGCCTCGCAGCATGCAGCACTTGAGAAACTGTGTCTAGAGTTTCTGGGGTCTTTGATCTCGTCAGGGCTTGGTTGAACATAGGGTGCACGCACCCGAGGACATTTTCTACATCCTTGACCAAGAGCGAGTGGGAAAAGTGACGATGCGAGAGTTCTTCTCAGCGCCTTCCCAGAATTTATTCCGCCCAAAGTCCCCCAAGTCCCTACCAGTGCACCACGCGTTCTGGCCTTGATCAGGGAGGAGGGGAGTTGTCCTCAGAGGCCAGACAATGGCCTTCGTTGAACGAATTCAACTTATCCTCATTGGTCAGGCCACAGCCCAGGGACTCACTTTGAAGGCTGGATAGTGGCATAGAGGTCCCTGCTGGGTCAATGGACAGCCCATACCCCGCACGTCTGTGGGGCGTGGGGCCTTGGCTGGCGGAGCTGGATGAGTTGGCGAAGTCCAAAGCATCACTAATCACGAACGGTCGCGGACCCCTCAAACAGCTTGTTGGCTCCCAAATGACTCGCCTAAGCATGGCAGGGCTTCAACTGATGTGCAGGGCTCCAACTGTGCCGCTAAACCATAGGTTCGGGTGCAGAGCGGCCTCATTCTTCACGGCTGTGCGTGTGTCAGTGTTGGCTCTGCGTTTTGAGCTTGTCCAGCCGTGACGGCATTATTTAAGGCTTCGGGCAGTGAAAAGAAGGGAATCAGGCTCATCTCGAAACTTGTGATCCACCTAATTAATGTTGAAAGTTCAATTATGTTGCATATTTAAAATAAACACAACAGGCCAGGACTGAAAATGTAACACCATTCTGGTCGTGGGGGTTTATTCATCAACACTCAAACAGTTTATATAGTCTCACTAACTTGGAGCCACTAAATTACTATAGACTATAGTAAGATTGAATGAATGTAATATCACACACTCAATAGTAAAATATAGTAAACAATATTCTACAGTATATAGTAGTAATACACATAAGTATACATATGTTTAAGTGGGTGGGTCCGGAGGGGTGTGTGCCACTTCGAATGAACACCACCAGGCTTCTTCCGCACTGGCTTTCCTTGCTCCACCAAGGCTTGTGTGAACCTCCATGCGACACCCAGGCCGTGGGTCCAGAGTGACAGAAAGAGAGATAGTGAAGAAACAAAAGAAGAAACAACACAGAACTCTTGAACATCCTTGTCCTTGTTCTTTAACATCCTGGATCTTTTCTATTAAAGAAAACAATCATCCTTGTTCAATTCTAGCACAATCAGTTTCGGGCTATGCATTCTAGCCCAGCATAGCCCAGCCTCACCTTTCCACTCTCGTCCAGCGATCCAGCCTCGAGTGGAGGCTGGCCGACACGGCCATTTTACGCCACTTGATTCAGCGGACCTTTGTGGCTCGATGCGATTCAGGGACCTTGATGGGTGGCTCCAAGCTCGAATGCATTCGGTCGACAGCCAGTCGACAGCAAACGATGACACGCCGTTGTTCAAGTGCCCCCATGATGTCCCATGTTGCTGAGACCCGAGCGGTGGTGAAACGTGCGGTCTCGGTCTCGGACAACAAGACATGCGGGGAGCATGGGAAGTGCACAAGTACTTCCCCAGGATGACTACAAGATCCTTAGTTGGCAAGTCTTATCACCTCGTGGATGTCATCTTCAAAGAGCACCAGGTTTAAAACGTCTCTCATTGACACATGCATGACCTCGAATGACACATCGAGGCAGACCTCTTGGAGAGGATCAACAAGTTGGATGTGCGACTTGGAGGTCAGCCGGGCCCGGAAAACACGTGAACCATCGGCACCATACAGTTTCCAACGTCACGAGTCTCCCAGAGTGAGATGGGACTTGGAGGCTTCAGTTCCGCCTGTCTCTCTCGCGCAAGAAAGAAGTCCCACGGGTCCTTTGAGAAGATGTTTGAGGTTTCTTCAGGTCAGGTAGAACCCATGGGATCCGGAGATGTTTGAGGAGGAAGATCCAGAGATCCAGCCGGGCTTTGGGTGGTGAACAGAACAATGGAAGGTTGAAGCATGTGGTAACCGACCCACGTGTTATGCATAGGGGGCGCATTTGGTCGCATGCATGTCTTTTTGGGTTTCCTTGGGGCATCCACCCACTTAGCAGTCAAACAATAGACATTAAATTTATATATAGACATCACTATTGTTATGACCTGGATTAAAGCTAACTCTAATGAATCACAAAGTCATAAAGAAATACAATACAAAGAAAAACACAAAAACAATACAAAAGACAATAAAAAAGACTAGGGCACACAGACCACAATGAGCATGAACACTAGGTTGTTGCCTCACACTTAGAAGCTCCACAAGAGAAGAACGCCCTCAACAGGAGCCCTCCTTCAGACACCACAAACCTTTAGAAGCCTTCAACAGTTTTCACGTAAGATGGAAGTTGTGCTAGGTCATGTGTACTTCAGTGTTGTTATTGGCATCCACTTTCGAAGACAAGAGTTTCAACAAAAGGAGGACGCCTGTGTCAAGCCATACTCTATAAGATTAGAACCCACAAACAGCATATAAATATGATTTGTTCCTGCTCTTGAGCAGGCCGGGCCAGTAAAGAAAAGCAACATTGCCTTGGTGTGTTGCAGAGTTTGGTTTGTTTTTTGTACAATTTTTGTATTTTTCACAAACATATGATTCTTGTATATTCTTATAGCTTTTTTACACTTTGCTTCTTAGCCAGCTCATAACACTATTACTAAAGTTGAGGCCCGTGATCGGATACCTTGGCTAGCGACTCAAATCAGCGCATTGCCGCTCCCAATGCGCCGATTTGGATTGGATCCCAGCACCATCTATATACTAGTAGTATACTAAGTAGTAAACACGGAACTTCAGCTGCTTCGTGGGTAGGAGAGCACACTGTGCACGGAAAGCACATTCCGCTCGTGTAGACGTATCCAGGTCTTTCACACTCGTGGCTTCTTCGCTAGGCAGCTAGACACGTTTCCTCTCCCAGGGGCGAGTGGGCAGCTCGTGTCAATGCCGCCGGCAGGAACAGAAGCTTGGGTCGAGCCACAACAGCCAAGCTTCGTCAAAGACACCAGGTCGCGCGGAGCGATCGTTGGGAGAATCGGCCGAGATCTGCACGATAGTTGGCTGGCCCATTCGCTGGCGATGGGTGGGCGGGTGATTCGGGCGAGATCGGGGGACCCTCAAGAGGATCAATCTAGACCTGGCACCAATTCGCACCAGTCGCAGCAAAACAGGAGGTTGGGTGCCGGTAGGGCTGTGGAGGATGCCGGACTGGGATAAGATCAGAATTAATTCCATTGTGCTGTGTGAAACATTTCGGAACACTTAGATCTTCGTCTTCCAAGAAATCCCAACACCACCCGCCGGCTGCACCTGTCCAGCATCATCCACCTCTGTGCTGTCCGTCGTTGACCTCGTCCGACCGGTCCGACCGTCGGCCAGGAGACGCGGAGAAGACGGACTCCCGATCTCCACCTTTCATGATAACGTCTCTTGGCTGGCCGCCTCGGGCCCACGGGTGGTCAGACGACGGGTGGTCAGAACGCGCCATGCATGTTTTGAAGGGTGCCAGCAGCCTGGGGACAGACGCGAGGGATCTGAAGCGTGAAAACAAACAGAGTCCAGCAACAAAGCCCCAGATGGGTGGAGGTCATGGGGGATCTGAAGAAAACGCTTCAAGTTTGAAGGTTTGTCTATTGATTTCTGCCCGGTGCTCATAAACCTGCTGGGTTTCAGTACAGGAAAGTACTTGTCGGCAATCATTAAGAAAAACAAGACAGCAAGGCCCAAACCATACAATGGCAAGACAACTTTTATTACATTGTTCTCCAAGTGGGTGCTACATGTACTTAACCCACAATACTGTGGTTTGGTGGAGCGTAAAGAACCCAAAGTGACGAAAGTTTAGTGCACAAAACCTTTTCCTTCAGTGCACATCATTGGTTCACTGGTTCAGTTCTTTCAGGACTTCAGCAACGACAGGATGACCAGCTCTTGCCACTGAATCCTGTTCATGGCCAGCTCTTGCAAAACACCACATGGTCGTTCACCTCTTGGACAGCCACCTTCACCACAACTCGGGTGTCCACTCCGATGTAGCCAGATATGACCAGATACATCCAGATACAAAAGACGGATCAATCACATCTTAGACAGGTGGCTGAACATACTCTGAAGCTCCCTCAAAGCCCATCTGGTGCTTAGCTACCCCGCCATTCCTGCAGGGTTCAGATGACTTGGTACCAGGTGGTTTCGATGCCAACACCCGGGAAGAGACCCACATGGGCAACCTGACGGCGATTTTTCTCTACAAACTGGGCGTGGTTTTCAGGTTTCGTGTGAATTTTCCAGGGTGTAATGTGTCATCAAATCACCTGGATTTCATGTGAAGAATCTCGGATTTCGCGGGACCTGGGGCATCTCAAATCGTTCCCTCCCACACCGGGCGTGGTTCACCTCCTCTCTTGGTGTTTTTCCCCACATCTCTGTGTGGGGTTCTAGTTTTGTTGGCTGCCATCCCGCCCGCATCCGCCCTTCCTTCCTTCCTTCCCTCCGTCCTCCTCGCTCCCTCCTCCACTCACTCGGTCGCTCGCTCGCTCACTCACTCAGTCACTCACTCACTCACTCACTCGCTCACTCACTCACTCACTCAGTCTCACTCACTCACTCACTCACTCACACTCCCAGGCGTCTGCAGAGACTTCGTCACTCACTCACTCACTCATTCACACTACTCACTCCATCACTGACGAGACTGCAGAAGGGCCTGCAGTGTCCAGAGACTGCAGAAGGGCCTGCGGCGCGCGTGGTCGCCGCTGGGCCGGCTCTCTCCGCAGTGTCCAGAGACTGCAGAAGGGTCTGCGGCGCGCGTGGTCGCCGGGCCGGCTCTCTCCGCAGTGTCCAGAGACTGCAGAAGGGCCTGCGGCGCGTGTGGTCGCCGCTGGGCCGGCTCTCGCCGCAGTGTCCAGAGACTGCAGAAGGGCCTCCAGCGCGCGTGGTCGCCGCTGGGCCCGCGGCGGTTCTGTGCGTGACTGCCATTGTGATTTCCATAGTATTTGTTCTTGCCGGTGTGGAGTCGCATTGTAAATGCTGCGAGAAGGATGTTTGCGAAGTGTGTCTGTGCACTGGTGCCATTGTGATTTGCAGGACCAGTGTTTGCGCGGCATGCGAATCGCCTTGTAAATGCTGCATAGAAGTAGTTTGTGAGAACACAGGCGTGGCCGACACACTCACTCACTCACTCACTCACTCACGCACTCACTCACTCATTCACTCACTCACTCACTCACTCACTGACGCACTCACTCACTCACTCACTCACTCACTCCACTCACTCACTCACTCACTCACTCTCACTCACTCACTCTCACTCACTCACTCACTCACTCACTCACTCACTCACTCACTCACTCACTC